GTGATGGATTCAATCCTGTTTTTTTTTTTTTTTGACACAGGGTCTTGCTCTGTAACCCAGGCTGGAGTGCAGTGGAGCAACCATGGCTCACTGCAGTCCTGACCTCCTGGGCTCAGGTGAATCTCACACCTCAGCCTCTCAAGCAGCTGAAACTACGGATGCACCATCATGCCTGGCTAATTTTTTTTTTTATTTCTTGTAGAGTCAGAGTCTCACTATGTTACCCAGGCTGGTTTCAAACTCCTGGGCTCAAATGATCCTCCTGCCTTGGCCTACCAAAGTGCTGAGATCACAGGCATGAGCCACTACACCCTGACTCAAACTGTGCTTTATATGTAAAACTGAGCCAAAAGGTGATGGAGCCATTTCTGAACAAAGCCAACCTAGAAAACTCCATCTGCCACCCACATCCATTCTAAAGCTCAATGATAGACATCTGAATGTTCTCCAGCAAAATGGTGGCAAAAACTGGCTGGTTATTTTTAAAATTCTTATAACTTTTGTCTTTAGGATAAAGCTATTCCCTAAACTTGTAACTTTTTTTTTTTTTTTTGGGGGCGGAGTTTCGCTCTTGTTACCCAGGCTGGAGTGCAATGGCACGATCTCGGCTCACCGCAACCTCCACCTCCTGGGTTCAGGCAATTCTCCTGCCTCAGCCTCCTGAGTAGCTGGGATTACAGGCACGCACCACCATGCCCAGCTAATTTTTTGTATTTTTAGTAGAGATGGGGTTTCACCGTGTTGACCAGGATGGTCTCGATCTCTTGACCTCGTGATCCACCCGCCTCGGCCTCCCAAAGTGCTGGGATTACAGGCTTGAGCCACCGCGCCCGGCAACTTGTAACTCTAATATTTTACTGTACTAGAAAAAGCAATATGTGATATTAGCCATACTAATGAATAATTCCAGCACAAGACTGTAAAATAACCCAAACTCAAAAGTAAATATCTATTCAATTTCTAGAAAATACATCCCAGAGTCACTGTTTTATAATAAATGGGGGATTTCAGCAAAACTGTGTTACCCCATTTTACTCAGAAAACTTGGCTCCATCATTACATTTAAACAAGCTAAATAATTGAGACTTAGAAAAAAGTATTAGGTAGCATGATTTCAATACATACATTTTGGTATATAGGGCCTGATGACACTACTGTAATCTCAGACCAAAACACTCCATTTTTCAATAATATTCAGTTATGCCGGTCAGGCATGGTGGCTCACTCCTATAATCTTGTCATTTTGAGAGGCTGAGGTGGGTGGACTGCTTGAGCCCAGGAGTTCAAGACCAGCCTGGGAAACATGGCAAAACCTCATCTCCGCAAAAAATACAGAAATTAGCTGGACATGGTTGTGGGCACCTGTAACGTAGCTACTCAGGAGGCTGAGATGGGAAGATAAGCCTGGGTGACAGAATGAGACAATGTCTCAAAAAAAAAAAATTAGGCCAGGCGTGGTGGCTCACCCCTATAATCCCAGCACTTTGGGAGGCCGAGGTGGGTGGATCACTTGAGGTCAGGAGTTCAAGACGGGCCTGGCCAACATGGTGAAACCCCATCTTTATAAAGAAAAAAAATATTTTTTTATATGAAAAAAGTAAAAATTTTAAAACGATAATTTTAATTTTTAAAAAAAAAAAAAAAATTAGCCAGGTGTGGTGGCAGCTGCCTGTAGTCCCAGTCCCAGCTACTCGGGAGGCTGAGACAGGAGAATCGCTTGAACTGGAGAGGCGGAGGTTGCAGTGAGCCAAGACTGCGCCATTGCACTCCAGCTTGGGCAACAGGGCAGGACTCCATCTCAAGAAAACAAAACCAACAAAAAAAGCAAAAATGAATTAAGTAAATAAAAATTTATACTTCTTATTGTTGGTTCTTCTGTCTTCGGTGGCAGCGCTTTCAGTAAATATTTTAAAAGTTAGGGCTGCTTACACACAGTAGCAATGGTATCTTTCAAAATAAACAGGCCTAAGAGGCATGGGTGGCTTGTGCTTTGGGAGATTGAGGCAAGAGGATCCACTTGAGCCTGTGAGACTGAGGCTGCAGTGGGCCATGGATGTGCCACTGCACTCCGGCTGGGGCAACAAAGCAAGACCCTATCTATAGAAACGTGAAATGTAACGACATAAAACATAATATAAATAAAACAGGCCTAAGAAAAGGAAATAAATCATTAGGGAAAAACTGTTGGACTCAAAAGTTAGTATCTGCTTACTGTCATAATTTTCTTGAGAAAAATCACAAAAATAAAAACATATCCCCCCAAAAAAAATTCCTAAAAAGATTTAGGAAGCTTCTAAAATCTGTCTATGCAAAATAACTCCCCAATCTAGCCCAAACACAGCAACGGATTGAGCTGTTCTTAATCTGCTGAAATACTAAACTATAGAATTTTTCTTTTTTTATGAGACAGTCTCACTCTGTTGCCCAGGCTGGAGTGCAGTGGCACTATCTTGGCTCACTGCACCCTCCGCCTCCCAGGTTCAAGTGATTATCCTGCCTCAGCCTCCCAAGTAGCTGGTATTATAGGGGTGCGCCACCACATCCTATTAATTTTTATAATTTTAGTAGAGATGGGGTTTCACCATGTTGGTCACGCTGGTCTCAAACTCCTTATCTCAGGTGATCTGCTCACCTCAGCCTCCCAAAGTACTGAGATTACAGGTGAGCTACCACGTCTGGTCAGAATACAGAATTTTTCATTATTGTAGTAAGAGATGGGTTTGGATATGGTGGCTCACACCTATAATCCCAGCACTTTGGGAAGCCAAAGCAGGAGGATCGCTTCAGCCTGGGAATTGGAGAACAGCCTGGGAAACACAGCTGTTTGACTCCATCTCTACTAAAAATAAAAAAGGTAGCCAGGTGTAGTCCCAGCTACTCAGGAGGCTGAGGTGAGAGGATTGCTTGAGCCCAGGAAGTCGAAGGTGCAGTGAACTACAATCATGTCACACAGCAAACTGCACTCCAACCTGGGTGACAGAGTGAGACATTGTCTCCCCCACCACCCCCTCCCAAAAAAAGGAAGAGATCAAAGGAGAAGGTTAAGAAGACAGACAACAAAGGAGGAGGTTAAGAAGACACACAATGAACACATCTGCTACTGGACCACGAGACTGATTAAAAACTGGTAAGGTTCCTGCCCCTTCCGAAGCCCGCACTTCCCTGGCTCATCCATCAATAATAAGTATTGAAGAGTTCACTCATTCTAAATACCTGCATCCTCTGCTGATTTTTGAAGGGCTTCTGCTAATTCCTGGTCTGCAATCTCCTCTGGCCGCACATCCTCTCGTCCGGCCCCATATGCCAACCTGGCGCACTCTGGTAGCTCTCCCTCAGGAAGAAAGGTAGTCTGGGAGCCTGTGGTGCCGATCACGAGTACATTTTTCTTCAGGTCAATGGAACACTTAGAAGAAAGAAACCGAAGGATGATGATAGCAGATAAAATACCATGCAGAAAAATTATGATCCTTACTTTAAAACTCCATTCACAAATGGCCAGGCGCAGTGGCTCATGCCTGTAATCCCAGAACTTTGGGAGGCCAAGGCGAGTGAATCACCTGAGGTGCGGAATTCCAGACCAGCCTGGCCAACATGGTAAAACCCCATCTCTACTGAAAATATAAAAATTATTCAGTCATGGTGGCAGGCACCTGTATCTCAGCTACTTGAGAGGCTGAAGCAGGGGACTCACTTGAATCGGGGAGGCACAGCTTGCAGTGAGCCGAGATGGCACCACTGCACTCCGGCCTGGCAGCCTGGGTGGCAGAGTGAGACTCTGTCTCAAAAACATAAACCTAAAAAACCTTCCATTTACAAAGAACACTGATAGGGACAGAGACAGTTTAAAAAAACTACTTAATCTAAAAGTATTTAAACTTTAACCTGGGTGATATTGTCTTTTTAGATGTTTATTTTATTTTTTGAGACAAGGTCTTACTCTGTCATCTAGGCTGTGCAGTGGCATGATCACAGCTCACTGCAGCCTCAACCTCCCAGGCTCAAGTGATCCTTCCACCTCAGCAACCTGAGTAGCTGGGACTACAGGCGTGCACACCACCACACCTGGTTGATTTTCTATTTCTTGTACAGATGTGGCTCGCATGTTGCCCAGGCTGGTCTTGAATTCCTGGACTTCAGTGATCCTCCTGCCTTGGCCTCCCAAAATGTAGGGATTACAGGAATGAGCCACTGCATCCAGGCTATATTTTTTTTAATATGCAAAAGTTATAGTTTTTAGTTATATAAAGTTATATAAAGATATATCCTTTAAAGACTATCCTATATCTTTATAGGATACAGTTTACATTTATTTGTCTTTAAAATAGTATTTGCTCATTTCTGATTATAAATATAATACATGCCTATTGCAAAAATTTGGAAAAGTGCCAAGCATAATTAGAAGCTCCACCTTTCAGGAATGCATGAACAACTTTTCTTATAAAACTGAGATCATACTATTTATATAGTCCTGTCTTTTGCTTACTATATCAAGTACAGCTTATATTAAACTCCACCAATCGTCTCCAGTGGTGGATGTGCAAGGCAATCTCCACAGTATTCTTTACTCCATATTAATGCTAACTTCCTTTTTTGTATACTTTATAACTACTTAATAGTCAGTTGTGAATATATATGATTTATACCTATAAAATTGGAGACTGCGGGTCCACATCATGACCAAAAAATAAGGAAAGACAGTGACAAGGTTTTATTGATACATACATTCATTCATTTGTTCTATTTAGAATGCTATGTCTTATTATAAATATAATGCATCTACTTTTACAGAAATATTCAAAAATAGTGACATAAAAATATTGATTACTTATATTTTCAATTGTTTTAAACTCAGGTTTCTTTTTTGAGGTGGGGTTTTGCTCTGTTACCCAGGCTGAAGTGCAGTGGCACAATCCTGACTCACTGCACCCTGGTCTCAAGGGATCCTCCTGCCTCAGCCTTGCAAGTAGCTAATGTACCACCATCCTAGCTAATTTCTGTATTTTTTGTAGAGACAGGGTCTCACTAAGTCACCCAGACCGGTCTCAAACTCACTCTGGCCTCAAGCAATCCACCCTCCTCAGCCTCCCAAAACGCTGGGATTACAGGCATGCATCATTGTGCCTGGCAGGCTGACTAACCACAAAATTCTACTGTGAAAAATGTGAAGCAGCGAGTGGGATCTATAGCCATACTGCCCTGAACATGCCCAATCTTGTCTCATTAGCAAGTGGACTGCTTCTTCAATGAGGGCAGTATACCTTAAATTATTGCGCTTTAGAGTAGAAAGATAAATATCAACACAAATTAATATATTAATTATGCTCCCTGTACTAAAGAAACACTTTCACTCCCAACAACACACATATATCTTCCTTAACCTTGAAGGTCTCCTTCCCAAGTACTATTTGATCAGCATCGGAAAATACTAAAAACTTACTGGACTGACACTTTTAGTCAATCATCAAAAAAACTACTAATCAGGATCTAACCAGAATCTTAAAATTATATGAGGGCCGAATTGTCCCTTTCAAGCTCAAAACATTTGTCAAGATTCAGCAGATTCAGAGAGATTTCACAAAAACAAATTCTATCTATATTGACACATCATTTCAACCTTTGTATAACAACACAACTTAAGGACACTTCGAGGTTGGAAAAGTCATTTCAACCTTTGTATAACAACACAACTTAAGGACACTTCGAGGTTGGAAAAGTCGTATTTCTTAGTTTTCCTGTATTCATAAGCCATAAAAACAACGTAATATAACAATAACCATATTACAAAAAGCAGATGCAAAAAAAAAAAAGTGAAGCTCTTAATTACCTGATGCCGTTTAAGCATGTCCAGTCCCAGAAGCATGTCCATGGGCTGTTCTTCAAGTATAGAGAAGGAACATGCCAAAAAATCTCCTTCAATCTGAACCTGAGCTAAAGCACATGAAGAGAAAAGGTTACCATTATATACTTCAAAAGCCCAAGGCAAGCGCTGAAAATGTACTTGTCATTCTGTCCCTTGCTGACTGCAATCAATTAAGGCAAAGCATGCAAACAGGTAAGATCAAGTTCAAGGCCAGCAAAGGCCGGGCATGGTGGCTCATGCCTGTAATCCCAGCACTTTGGGAGGACAAGGTAGATGGATCCCCTGAGGTCAGGAGTTTGAGACTAGCCTGGCCAACATGGTGAAACCCTGTCTCTACTAAAAATATAAAAATTAGCCAGGTGTGGTGGTACACGCCTATAATCCCAGTTACTTAAGAGGCTGAGGCAGGAGAATCGCTTCAACCTGGGAAGTGGAGGTTGCAGTGAGCTGAGACTGTCTCACTGCATTAGAGTCTGGGCAAAAAAAAAAAAAAGTCAATGAAGGCTTAATATTAGATTTTTAAATATTTGCTAATCTGGCTAGTAATTTTATATTTTCCTGATTAACAATGAGGTTAAGCAAATTTTCTGTTTTTTTTTTCTTTTTTTTTTTGACCAAGTCTTGTTCTGTCATCCAGGCTGGAGTACAGTGGCACCATCTCAGCTCACTGCAACCTCCTCCTCCAGGGTTCAGGAAAGATTTCCCTGCCTCGGTCTCCCGAGTAGCTGGGTTTACAGACACCTACCACCATGTCCAGCTAATTTTTGCATTTTTAGTAGAGACAGGGTTTCACCATGTTGGCCAGGGTGGTCTTGAACTCCTGAACTCAAGAGATCTGCTCACCTTGGCCTCCCAAAGTGCTGGGATTATAGGCATCAGCCACCGCGCCTGGCAGAAAATTTTCATATATTTATTAACCATCTGGATTTCCTCAAGTGTCAAAGTGTTTTCTGTAAAAACAAAAAACATTTTTTTGAGATGGAGTCTCACTCCTGTCGCCCAGGCTGGAGTACAGTGGCATGATCTCATCTCACTGCAACCTCTGCCTCCCAGGTTCAAGAAGTTATCATGCCTCTGTCTCCAGAGTAGCTGGGACTACAGGTGTGCACCACAATGCTCAACTAATTTTTATATTCTTAGTAGAAATGGAGTATTGCCATGTTGGCCAGGTTGGTTTCGAGCTATGGCACCAGGCAATTTCTGTAAATTTTATTTATTTATTTATTTATTTATTTATTTATTTATTTAGTGACAGAGTCTCCCTGGAGTGCAGTGGCGTAATCTCGGCTCACTGTAATCTCCACCTCGCGGGTTTAAGCAATTCTCTTGCCCCAGCCTCCTAAGTAGCTGAGATTACAGGCGCCCACCACCACATCTGGCTAATTTTTTGTATCTTTAGTAGACACAGGGTTTCACCATTGTCAGGATGATCTCGATCTCCTGACCTCGTGATCCTTCTGCCTTGGCCTCCCAAAGTGCTGGGATTACAGGCGTGAGCTACCGTGCCTGGCCTCTGTAAAGTTTTATATTGTGAGTTGTAGGATATACACTTGGGTCTATATTCTGAATATGAATCTTTTATTAGTTGTATGTGTTCCTAAAGTTCTTTCCTAATTTGTGCTTGTTCACTTTGTGATGTCTTTTAACGGAAAGTTCTTTTAATTACTGCTTTTTTTCCCCACCCCAAGACAGAGTCTCACTCTGTCACCCAGGCTGGAGTGCAGTGGCATGATCTCAGCTCACCGCAACCTCTGCCTCTGGGTTTAAGTGATTCTCCTGTTTCAGCCACCAAAGTAGCTGGGATTGCAGGTGTGCGCAACCATGCACGACTAATTTTTGTATTTTTAGTAGAGACAGGGTTTTTACCATGTTGGCCAGGCTAGTCTTGAACTCCTGACCTCAGGTGATCCGCCCACCTCAGCCTCCCAAGGTGCTGGGATTACAGGTGTGAGACACCAAGCCTGGCCATTTTTTAACAATAGAGACAAAGTCTAACTCCTGACTTGAGTGATCCTCCCTCTTTGGCCTCCAAAAGTGCTAGAGTTACAAGTATGAGCCACTGTACCCAGCCCCGAAAAGTTCTTTAAAAAAAAAAAAAAAGTATTTTTTTTGAGACAGAGTCTCACTCTGCTGCCCAGGCCGGAGTCCTGTGGCGTGATCTTGGCTCACTGCAATCTCTGCCTCCTGTGTTCAAGTGAGTCTCTGATTCTCTACCTATACCTCCCAAGTAGCTGGGATTACAAGTGTGTGGCACTACGCCCAGCTAATTTTTGTATTTTTAGTAGAGACAGGGATTCACCATGTTGGCCAGGCTGGTCTTGAACTCCTGACCTCAGGTGATCCACCCACCTTGGCCTCCCAAAGTACTGGGATTACAGGAGTAAGCCACCACCCCCGGTCAGGGATAAGTTTTTTTTTTTTTTTTTTGGACAGGGTCTGCTGTGTTGTCCAGGCTGGTCTGGAACTCCTAGGCTCATGCAATCCTCCTACCCCACAACTAGGTTTTTAATCTACTATGAATTTGCTTTTGTGTGGTGTGGGTAGGGGTCCAATTTCTAATTCATTTCTCCCCATGGATACCTCTTGTCCCAGCAACATTTCCTAAAACTTTCTAAGACTCCCTCTCATTTATCACGGTTCATATAATCATGGGTTTGTTTCTACTAGTATCTTCTAGACAGTCCTTCTGATATCTAGAAGGCGAGGTCATTCTAGAGTGTTTTGCCCATTCTCACAATACAGGGCCCATGCTGAACTTAAAACGAGCACATCCGGTCTCACAAAAAACTACCGGGATTTAGCCGGGCGCGGTGGCTCACGCCTGTAATCCCAGCACTTTGGGAGGCCGAGGCGGGTGGATCACGAGGTCAAGAGATCGAGACCATCCTGGTCAACATGGTGAAACCCCGTCTCTACTAAAAATACAAAAAATTAGCTGGGCATGGTGGTGCGTGCCTGTAATCCCAGCTACTCAGGAGGCTGAGGCAGGAGAATTGCCTGAACCCAGGAGGCGGAGGTTGCGGTGAGCCGAGATCGCGCCATTGCACTCCAGCCTGGGTAACATGAGTGAAACTCCGTCTCAAAAAAAAAAAAAAAAAACTACCGGGATTTTGATGGCATCTCAATGGCTCTGTGGATGAACACAGGAGAACTGCGACCCCCAACAGTCTTCTGATCCGTGATAAAGCTTTCCTTTTATTTAGATTTCCCCTATTGCTATAAGGGTTTCTTCGTGATGATCATAGCTGTGGTTGTAAAATTCACAAGGTTGGACACAGAACTTGGTACTTATTTTGTCTCTTCCTATTATCGTCTCACTTAAAGCCATAAGAAATCTGAGAACTCAGCCCCTGAAGCAACCAGTTTGTGGTATTTCTGCCCAACTCTCAGTCCTACTGTGTTTAGGAAAGTATGAGAATAGGTAGTTTATCTTTATCCTACACAATCAGTAAGAGAAACACAGAGACCCTAATAAACAGCCACACATATTTCAAATGAAAGAAAGAGCCAATGCATAGAAAAACTATTATTTGCAATGAAAGAAAAGTAACTTACAATAAGAAACCACCTTTTTATTCGTAAAAAATTTATTGCTCTATCGCCCAGGCTCAAGTTCACTGGCATGATCTCGGCTCACTAGAACTTGCCTCCCAGGTTCAAGTGATTTTCTCACCTCAGCCTCCTGAGTAGCTGGGACTATAGGCACACTTCACCATCACCAGCTAATTTTTTTTTTTTTTTTTTTTTGAGACAGACTTTCCTTCTTGTTCCCCAGGCTGGAGTGTAATGACACGATCTCGGCTCACCGCAACTTCCTCCTCCCAGGTTCAAGTGATTCTCCTGCCTCAGGCTCCCCAGTAGCTGGGATTACAGGGATGCACCACCATGCCTAGCTAATTTTGTATTTTTAGTAGAGATGGGGTTTCTCCACGTTTGTCAGGCTGGTCTCAAACTCTCAATCTCAGGTGATCCGCCCACCTCTGCCTCCCAAAGTGCTGGGATTACAGGCGTGAGCCCCTGCACCTGGCCATTTTTTTGTATTTTTAGGAGAGATGGGGTTTCGCTATGTCACCCCAGCTGGTCTCGAACTCCTGAGCTCAAGTAATCCGCCCACCTCAGCCTCTCAAAGCGCTGGGATTTCAGGCATGAGCCACCACACCTGGCCTTATTTGTAAATTTAAGAGGGAAAACTAATATTGCTAACAGTACAGGACATTAATATGAATATTCATTCAGTGTGGATAAACTGGATTGGTACAAGTTAGCAATATATCAAGAACCCTAAAGCATCCATAACTTTGATTCAGTAATTTCACTTATAGTAATCTTTACTAGGGGAAAAAAAATCAAGATATATGGAAAACTATACTGCCATGTTGTAACAGGAAACATAACCAGCCAGGTGTGGGGGCTGGGCTCACACCTGTAATCCCAGCACTTTGGTTGGCTGAGTCAGGTGGATCACATTGAGCTCGGGAGTTCAGAGTCCAGCCTGGGCAAAATGGTGAAACCCCATCTCTACTAAAATTACAAAAATTAGCTGGGTGTGGTAGCAGGCGCCTGTAATCCCAGCTATTTGGGAGGCTGAGGCAGGAGAACTGCTTGAACCTGGAAGGCAGAGGTTGCAGTGAGCCAAGATTGTGCCACTGCACTCCAGCGTGGATCAGAGAGCAAGATTCTGTCTCAAAAAAGAAACATAACCCAAAAGCTGACCCTTAAACCTGCAACAGAATGCTGTATATTTATTCATTTATTTAAATAATGCTTATGAAATTTATAGTGACATTGGGAAAATGTTATTTCACTTTTTCTTAGTGCAGAATATGAAATTTTAATCATGAAATAATAACCTTTTGTAAGAAAAAAAATGCACAGAAAAATGACCAGAAGGAGATATACTCAAATGATACTGGTGGTTGTTTCTTACTACAGCAATTTAAGGGATTTTTTTTCCTTC